CCCCCCCGCCCGCCCTCTAGTTACCGACCTTCCTGTTTTGGTAAGCGCGCTTTCCTTTTCCTTGCTGTCTTTTTTATCCCCCCTCCCCTCCCCCTTTCCCCGTTCTCTCGTGTGACCCCTCTCTCGCGCGCACATCTTCTTTTTTCTTATTTTTTATTTTTAATTAAAACAGGCCCTTTTGCCCCTGGCCCCATATCCATTCTGGGGAGCATCAGTCCAGTCCAGTTCCTATTCCATCGGCACATCTTTCGCCTCGGGAACCAAACACGCACACACACAGAAAAGGAAGAGAGGGGGAGGGGGGTGGGGGAGGGAGGAGGGGGGGGGCGCTGCTTTCACCTCGGAGGCACTCCTCAGGACAAGGAGGGGCTGAGTAATAGCGCGCACCAACCAACGGGTCTAGTAGCTCAGTGGGTACACCCATGAACTGTTGAAATACAGACAGACCCAAGTTCCAATCCAGATACGATCAGATGAGGACCAGAAAAAGATTCTGAATTACCTGGGGCCGGTCAGTGCAATGATGATATCTCAAGGCCGTCGCCCTTTTTTTTTTTGGTTAAAAAAAAAAAGAAGAAATAGCGGGCACCGAATACTTGGACGACCATGAAACGTTGGACAGTTGGCTCATCGTTCATATGGGTTTCTGACGAGTTGGTGAAGATTCAACGAAACTACTTACCAGTATGTCGCACAGCCCCTCGTTTGTTGTCCTCTTCTCCCTCCCTCTCTGCCTACGGTTTACCGTAGGCAGTTCTGTTCGACGACCTGCAACGTGTGGATCCTTCTGCTGCTCGACAATATGCTTTCACTTATCGTTTCATTGATGATGTCCTCACTTTTGGTTGCCTCCCGCCATCGCCAGCCTGTTATGGTCTGGAATGGAAGGAGACAACGGATCCTGATGGTTGTTGCACTTTCTTAGGTGCGAAGCTGCAGACACGCACAGATGGATCCCTCCGATTGAGTGTGTATGATAAGACTGTTGCATGGGGTTTCCCTGTTATACGATACCCTAGTGCAACGTCAAACATTCCAACTCATCAGCCTGCAGGTGTGTTCACTGGCCAGCTTACGCGGTTTGAGCAGATTTGTGACAATTGGCATGATTTTAAAACGGCGGCAGCTTTGCTTACCCGCCGTTTGCTTTCCCGTGGCCATGTTCCATCAACACTGGCTCGAGGATGGACTTGTTATATTCGTGCTCGCCAGCGTCGGCAGCCTACACATGTGACGAGACTTACACAATGGTTTGGTCGCATGCTTCGTTGGTCCATGCATCATCCTCTTCCACCCTCTCCTCCCCTTGCTGCCCATTCTCCTTCCCCTCCCCCTCCTCCCCCTTCCTCTGTTCCATCTGCTCGTCCTTCTCCTCCCCCTCCCCCTTCCCTGCCTCCTCCTTCTCCTCCTTCCTCTCCCCCTCCTCCTTCTTCCCCTCGCCCTCCAGATGTACGTTGTCCTTTCTGTTCCCAAGGAAGTTATCAGAACT